TGACGCTTGCTTCAACTTTTTCCCAGGATGGTGGTTGTTTCAATGTCACCCAACTAAAGCCACCAAGTACTTGAAATTGGTTCATTCTTTCCTGTAGATAATCGACGCCGTTGCCGTAGAAGCGGGTGATAATATTCATCCCATCTGTTTTCTGGTGAGACCCGCTTGTTCGAGTTAGCCCATTCGGATTTTTACCTCGTTTGGAACAAAGCTGTTTCTGCTCCTGTCCCTGCACCATTGTAGGTTCCTACATTGCAGACGACACTTCCAGTGCTGAAATATTTTATTTCTCAATTTCAAGTATAGCAGCGTAAAAAACCGCAGAGATGTGTATAAACAAGAGACAGTTCAGTGCAGAGATTTTCAAAGAAATATTGTAATACTGCAGGACACTTGTATCCAGACAAAAAAATAGGATTCCAACACTGAAAAGAGCTTCAGAATTCACCCCACTGCTGGCATAAGTGAATGCCCCCTGGTTTCCCCTTATCATAAAATGCGTTGGTACTCAACCATTGCAGTCACAGAATACCGTTAGTTCTGCAACACGAACAGTGTAAATGTAGAAGTAAGAATATAATTTCGCCACAACCGTTTCAATATCAATAGGAAGACAGCTACCGTTCGCAATGTGTTGTGGGCCACGCAACCAACTGTTTTTCCAAGCGAAGATTTCAATTTCGCAAATGCATTGTTTAGTCCGCTTCTCTGAACGCCACCGAAATTTGTGTTGGCGTTGTCAGCACAAAATCCCACAGTTTTTCTGGTTCTATTGTTTTGTTCCAACCCATACTGCATTTGGTCTGAAGAGATTGCCACGCGCCTCTTCTTTTCCATCATAAGACCATGCTCGAGTACGGATCACCTGCCTATTGTCCGACCACCGGTGGCGAGGTATAAAAACTGGGACGTGTTCAACATGTGGCTACCGGCCTCATTCCCAGTGCACGCGGTATGACGTACAAAGACCGATGCAGACGACTAGGGCTGTACACCCTGTCATATCGTCGGTTTAGAGTTTGATCTCATTATGACTTATCGGATATTGTGTCTGGGTCACTCCCCATGCTGAGGCCACTGCTTCACGTGAGCGTAGCAAGCGACACTCGTGGGCACCGCTACAAGCTAGTGGTACCCGATGTAAAGCGGATAGCTCACCTACTATGCTTCGAGCGCCGAATGGTGAAATATACTGGAACAGTATACCTGCGAAAATTGTTGAGGCGAGAACGCTGTCGGAATCCAAGCAATTCCCGAACACCCATTTTGCAAATTTCTGATACAGAGAGCGCTTCGCAACCGAATAGCATGCAGCGCAGCCGTAATAGTAGCATACGATCAGACTTAAGTGAAGTGAATCCGCGCACGTGCCCGAACTAATTACGATGGACCAACACAGACGCATGTCTACTAGCTCACTATTTTCAGTATTCTGTATTTAACATCCGATGACGGCAAAAGAGATTTCACAAGGAGTGGGAACACCTTTACTTCCTTGTGGTTTGAGGCGTCTGTGAATATTGGCACTAAGCTTGTATTCTTCAGTTTGGCTGAAGTGAGTCTCTGGCAAATGGAAGCGGGATATTAGTTGTTATTGTCTTGCATTTTGTGCAGGCACAAGCAAAGTTCGGTTTAAACAATTTCCCTACCAACTTGCTGGTGCAATGTATGTAGTGGAAACTGTGATTATGAAACAAAGCGTGATAAACTAAGGTACCTACTTCGGCTACTAACTTGGAGTTTGTGTTACCAAACATTGCTGAACGGATTACATGGGCAGCACACACTACTACCTTATGACAATCCGATTTTAGGTGTTTTGTGATATCTGATCTGCCACGGTGAGCAATAGAAAATTCGGACGTACATGTGTCACATCGAACATCCGAGGTGTTGTCGCGTGTTGTCTTCTTAATGCTCAATAGTCAATGATACATTGTGGCGAAAAGAAGCCAAAGCTTGACATGTCCCACCGGATGATCAGTTAGGGGTGAGCAAAGTAAAGGCAAAAATAGCAAGAAGAAATAGTGAACAACCGCAAATTACGAAGTTGCCGATTACAGCGTTCCTGTCCGTTTTAGGTACTATCCAAATTTGTCGTCTGTGGTTTCCGGGCAAAAAATGGAGGTGGATTGGTTTGATTTTGTTTTTTTGCTGTTTGTATGGGTTGTTTAGATTACGTCATATGGTGTATTGTGGCCAGTGCAGTGTCGACACGTGCTTTGAACACGGCTAACGTGGGGGGATAAAATAACAAATTCTGAGAGTGTATTCCGCGTGTGGCAAACACACAGCAAGAGGTTTCTTAGACACTCCAACCGACTGCATTGGTTCTCACAATTTGAGATGATGGCCTCTCAGTTGGTTGTTGTGATTCAGCTTCAACAGGCGATGGCAGAGGTGATGAGTGTTGTTTAATATTTCGTAAACCATGATTAGATCACCACGCAAACGCCGATCACATCCACAGAAAATGCCAAGCACTTTGAGGCGCTGTTCGCATGACAAGGGGCGCAGCCCCTTGACATTTTTGGTCGCCCGACGTCGTGGAAGCTCCAAGACCGTAAGATCCCGCTTTAGCCATGGGTGCCATGCTTGAATTACATATTCAACATGTGAGCGTATCTAAGCGGGAAGTATTTGGCCGAAAATCGATGGTTCGAAGTGCCAGAAAGCTCCCTCTAAAAGCCCCACGATTTGGATCCTCTTCTTCGATGCCTTTTTGGACTGCTCCGAGGAGCCGAGATTTGCCCGGACCAACACACCGAGATCCTTTTCGAGAGAACAGTGTTGCAGACCACAGTCCCCCAGCTTATATGTGTGAACCATTTGGTGTCTTAAACGGAGCACTCGACATTTAGCCACGTTGAAGAAAAAGCGATTTTGGACCGACCATCCATAAATCTTGTTATTGTCGTTTTGATAGTTAGATACGGTCTTCTGGAGCCCTGATCACTCTCCAACCTTTGATTTCGTCGGCGTAGAGTAAACAGTTTGACGTAATTTGACACATTAGATCGTTTATGAAGACCAAGAATAGACGGGGACCCAATGCTGAACCCTGTGGCACTGCGCATTCGACGGGAATTGGGTCTGACGTAGATTCATGCACTCTCACCTCCAGACGCCTGTGCGAGAGAAAGTTGCAGATCCACCCGACGAGAGGGTCCCCAATGCCACATCCTTGAAGTTTAGCGTGAAGGACACGGTGGTCCAACCGGTTGAATGCCTTAGAAAGCAAGGTAAGCCACATCAACTCCTGCATCAGCGTCCACAGTTTCGGTCCAGTTGTCTCGTACTAACAATAGATTGGTTGTGCACGACCGATTCTGGCGGAAGCCGTCCAGATGAGACATGAATGCGTCGGCAGTGATAGCCTCCATAACTTTTGAAAGAACTGGCAGTAGAGTCACTGGTCGATAATTAGATGGGTCGGGACGACTACCCCCTTTGCAAATGGGAGTTATTGTTCCGTGTTTCCACAATGCAGAAACGTTGCGCTTGTCAAGGCAGTGCTGGAACAGCCGCGCTAAAGGTTCAGACAAAATAGTAGCCGCCATAGCAAGCGTCTTTGGGTGGATGTCGTCAATTCTTGGACAGGCGTGCAGGCGCATGGATAGCAATTTTCTCATCACGATGTCTGCCGTAAAATCTATGTGAATGAGTCCTGATGTGGGCACCATAGGTTTCAAAGATTCAGGAGACCATGGGATGCAATGAAACATTGGTGTGTGTTGTTGCTGCAGGACATTCGACGCTTTTTTAGCAGTCCGAGTTAGACCAACCACTGTTAAAAGAGGGAGAAATCCACTTTTCACGTTGCGGGAGCTGTTCACATGCTTGTACAGAAGCTTAGGATTTGCAGTTAGTCGCTCGGCTAAAGCATATTGAAATGCTATTTTGTCCTCGCACACTAATTGGGTACAGTGGTTATGGTAGACAATATTTGCTTTACAGGCACTCGGACTCGGATCGGTTTTGTGGGTATACCACGCCGCGTTGCGCATCACCATGCGTTTGCCTGTCCTACTACGTATAAACGACGTCATGTTTCTCGAACTGACAGTCTTGGTTGCCGATGCTCTACTAACCAGGGTGTTAAACTTACTGACGAAACGTTCCCAAGCAATATCGGGTGCATCCTCGGTTAAGAAACTCCAGTCGGTCGTTGCAACGAGTCGGGTTAACGTGTCATAATTGGTTACGGTTCACGTTGTTTGAGTTCGGACTTGGGATAGTCAGCATAGCAAGTGTATATGAAATGCAAAGTCGCATGATAATGAATGGAAAATCGCTCTCCAATTGAGCAGTCATCCTACGCGGTTCGTTTATAAATGGTTTTCCCACCAAAACTGTACTTAATGCAAGCGTTCTCCACTAAAGACAGAAAAAATTGTATCATCGCTTTTCTTCCCTCTTTTTATACTGTCGGAAAAATTCGCCTTGTCACGTTCCCCATTCACGCAGCCCACTTACTATGTGCATGCACGGCCACTGATTGGTTTTGGTTTTTTTGCATCAACATTCCACATGCTCAAAGCAGGATATTCTGAGGTCACGACCACCAAACGGAACATTTAGGCGTCCAGCCCAGTAGTTCTGAAGAAGTGGGACGACAACTTGAAATGCAGTACTGTCCCGCCTAAATCGAGACGTATAGCCACCTTAATATCAGTACTACGTGGATTCAATTTCCTACCTTTTAAAAGGCAAAAACTGTATCAATAATGGCCACAGTCCGGGGAAAAACACCATTGGTGACAAGCAACAGTGACGAGAGGCCGGTGGAGCGGTCTCCCAAATCTCATGCACAGCCGCAAGGCACGAAGAGCTGTGTGGTCACCTCACTGGATAACAACAGACGAGTACTACAGACAGTGAAACTAACGGCGCTACACGTAAAAAGTCTTGCTCTAGCTTTGGCTTGTCTTCCACAAGGTAAGACAAACACACAATAAATCTACGCTCACAAGGAACTGCAGAATAAGCAGTTACTACGCAACCCAAAGGTGATGACGGTCGTGTTCAAACGTTCCAAAACCCACTAGCGAATTGTTAAAAGGTAGAAAACCCGAGGAGTAAAACCGATGGGCTAAGATAAGTTGCCTTCTCGGACTGAAGGCTCTCCCAAATAATCTTACCCGCCTTTTAGGAAACCCATCATCTACGCACATGGGGGAACCTCGGTTACTGCGAGTAACATTTAACAACACACGCGACCTGGAAGATGTTCTCCTGGAAAGGCACATTCTAGTGAACACTTCTGTCAATACCCGCATTTTGCTTGATAGGCTAGGAGTAGAAAAACAGAAGCGAAAATCCAACCCGAGCGCGTCAGGTCAAAATAAGATGAAGAAATTAGTAATGGTTCATGGTGTGTCAGAATTGAAGCGTGAGAACAGTGAACGATTAAAGCATGACAACGAAGAGTGGAAGTACATAGCAGAGCTCTATAACATGCAAAATGTGGTCGCTTTTGATGTCACCCACGGCAGCTGACCATAAATATTGCAAATTACCTCCACTATTCCCCAAATGGTATCAATAGCGGTCGAAACGTGACATGACAACCGAAAACGTTAGCCACTAGAAGTACGGTTAAGACCATTCCTTCAAGCAGTACAGATTCCAGGTACAGATGAGTCAGACTCGGTTGTTCCTGTCTCAGATAAGCCAACCGTATAAACAATCGTTTCAAAAAACGTCAACACACCGGTACTAAGTGTGCCAGACAAACGCACCGAACCAAGCTATTAATACATTAACAAATACAGTGCTGCTATACCAACGCACAAGGCGTGTAGTCCAAGCTTCTGGAACTGCGCCAATGACATAAAACAACTTTGGACATCATAGCAGTAATCGAAACCTGGCTCTCAAATGACATACTAGATCCAAAAACGTAACCCAGTAAAATGTCAATCATTCGGAATGCTCACGCATCTCGCAGTGGCGAAGTTGCTATCTACTACCGAGATTACCAGAAATGTAAGGCCCTTACTGAACATTTCCTTGCTATTCTCGACGCATTACTTTGCCGACTGCAGTTAGTACGTTGAGATGGTGAACCTCAGAAGACGCGTGATGCTTGTCTCTTAGCAGATTTCTACAGGCCCCCGAACTCCTCCGCAGACAGAGATGACACAGTTAAACGCTCCACTACGTTGTCAAAAAAGTACCCGCATTACGTCATAATGGGCGACTTCAATGTACCTTCAATAGTAACAGAGTAACACAGTAGTCCATCATTCAAAACAAAACCCCTTGACTTCACGGATATCACAATTTTATATGAAAATGTGCATCGACAGACCAGACACCGCGGTTCAAACAAGCCATCGCTCTTGGACTTGATCCTGACAAAAGAAGAGTTGATGGTTGAGTCAGTGTTATGGGGACCGAACGTCCCCACAAGACGTCAAGCGGAACCCCGCAAGGCCAGTGCACGTTTCCATCGGCCCCACACGCAAGAAACATTTCCGGCCAAGCCCCATCAACTGTCGTCATACAATCAGATCACGTTCGGTTATTGATCTTTGACCGTTTCACGTATTGCTAATTGGCTCGTTTTCAATTATCGTTATTCCTTTTCTTTTAATGGTTCAAGCGTCAATTTGCTTAATTAGGCCTTGCTTACCATTCTACGTTAAAATCTCATTGCACCAATCGTTGTATATATGCAAGGCTGGATCACACCGTAATTGCTCGCTGTGGCCAGTAAAGTGTCTAAGGCGAACCGTATGTCATTTGTTCTTATCTCTCTGGTTCGGAGTCGCGTGTGAAGTCTGTGCTAGATCTAAGAGAACGCTGCAACCGTTTTGTGTCCAAGTTTCGTGGGTTGTACGAAATCTAATTCTGCCAGCTACTTTCCGTGCGGGATATTGCAATGTGGGTAGGTTTCCTAAAGCGCAAACCAGCAGAGCACGTGAATTGCGTTCACCCAACCAGCTGCCCCGAAAACCCGAACGAGCTGAGCCCAAGATCAACCCGGCTGATGTCTAACGCACCGGAAAGATAGCGATCAACAGACCAGTGTTCATTTAAAATCAGGACCCATGATTGAACGCGCAGTCGGCTAGTGCAGGCTGTACAGTGTGAATATATCACCTACGTTAGTTCACATTCTGTTTTCAGAATAAACTCCGGATTTTCTTGTACTCGCCCTGCTCGTACATCGTTGCTAGGGATTGGCCTGCGCTCTACTCTAGCAGTGTCCGACGCAACAGAATTGGCGACGGCAACGCACATAACATCAATAACTACAGAGTAATTAAAGGCAATCCCGCAACAACAGCAAACTCAGTTCGAGGGGGGCCCAGATGGGAATAAGAGAAAGTTTGATGCGGTGATTCATCAATAAATCTTCAATTCCTGTCTCGAGAGAAATTGCCGCCGAAATAATTACAAACAGAAGCACGGAGTTCCACTATGAATCTCATACCTGGCTGATTTTGAATTTTGGTTCGAATGATATGAGGACATGTTCAAAATTGAACTGAAGCGTAAATACGATGCACGGCGAGTCAGTCTGTTGCTGAAGAAGCTTGGCACAACTGAACACACGATACACAAAATTTATCCTGCCAAAAAACGCCTGGGATCTAACTTTGGACGAAACCGTACGTCCGCTATCGGAAATTTTCGATGAATGTTCTTCCTTGTTTAATACCCGGTACCAATGCATGAAACTTGCCAAACAGATTCCATCACATATGCTGGTAGAGTCCATTTCGAGTGTGAACAACTGTCTACTATGACAGAAGATCAGTTCAATGGTCTGATTTTCATTTGCGGTCTCCAGTCGCACTCCGACAGTGATATAAGGACCAGGTTGTTGAGCAGGATTGAACTGTCCGCAGATAGTATGCTACAGCAGGTAACGCATGAGTGTCAGCGTTTGGTAAATCTTAAGCAAGATACAGCCATGTTGGAGCGTTCATCATCAAACTCCACTTTCAATATCACAAAGACATGCTTAAGACAACCCACCGGTTCAGCAGCACCTGTCTTAGCGAAACCACCATCGGCGTGCTGGCAGTGTGGCGAATGGCATTCCGTAAAGTTCTGCCCTTTAAGAAGCACAGATGCTCAGTTTGCAACCGACGCGGCCACAAAGAAAAGCAATGCCGAACAAGGAAACGTGTGCGTACACCCAGCCAAAGACGTCGATCGGTCAGTCGCTCCCATAGGACCGAGTCCAAATTCAACACCGTGTTTGCAACAACTGATCCTAACTTTAAACGCCACCGCAAATACGTGACTGCGTCACGTACCGTTGTTCGTTTGCAACTTGCTGTCGCGTCCGGTATTACGATAGTGCCAAAAAGTAGATGGAAGAAAGTGGGTTCGCCAGGATCTTGTCCGACGGACAGAAATGCATTCGGCGGTAAAATCAAATTGCTTCGTGAATTTCATTGTGAGCTGGCAATTTCAGGCAAGTGCGATCATGGTACCTTTTAAATAGTTGGTTGTGAGCTCAACCTTGTTTGTATTGACTGGATCGAGCGTTTGGAACTTTCCGACATGCCCATCAACAAGTTGTGTTCATCAACACATACCATATCCTAACAGAGTCGAAGCTACTTGAGGCAAATGTCCTATGGAAATACAGGGGGAGAGAATGACAGCGAGAATACTGGATGGTAGGCGGCATCTGGTTTCAGATTTGCCTGTCATTGTGGCCAGCCACGCTGTATCTGGAAATCAAACGCACACAAGACGGTGGCTGGACCGTCGTCCGCTCCACGCTGAGTGCATGGAACCACTCTTCGAGCCTAACACGGACACAAGCACCGTACACCCAGTCCCGTCCACCAAAGACCAACTGTCTCCTGGAGCCAATATGGACGAGCTAGTGTGTAATAGACAGGTAGGCACCTTCTCAACATGCACATCAAGCGCAGTCACACCGGGGATTTCAACCAACAGCCAATCACCTGAGACGATGATATCACAGAAAATAAATCCAATAATGCATACAGATATGCTGACACAAATCTCCCATAAATGAGTGTACAAACTTTAGTGCCTGCAAACAAATCCGCGATAGGTTCAAGATGTAAGAAAATTTATTTCCAGAAAATGCCACAAACGCGAATGTTAGTGAAGTTAACTATAATTAGCCTAAGCGACGTGTGCAAGTTAATAAAAGATAGTTCAGGTATCCAATAATATGAGAAAAAAGCATTAGAACAACATAGCAAACCCACCACCTGAAATAGGGATTCAGCATACAAGCACGAGGTTGGTAAATCGAATGCAGCCTGCCTACAAATGCTGCGTCGATTCTGCGTACGTTCTCTGCAGGATTCGTCGTCGTTTCGGTGTTGGTCCCGAGTGGCACCGCTCATGGCTCACTAGGCCTGCCTGACTCAGACACTCACGACCGCATGTGCTACAGCACCGTGCGCTCGATGTTGATAGAGTACGACCTATCGGCGCCTGTCGCTACCGCAACCGCCTCTTCATTTCTGCATACATGAAGGAATTTTCTTGCAACTCGGTAACGGGATTCGTGATCCGATCGCGCCATGCATGCCGATCAACCGCTTACAATTCGCATGGCCTGCAATCAAGATTAGAACGAGAGAGACTCACTTTGATAATGTCCTGGTAACGTAACTTTGGTTTCCCCACATGCCGCTTCCCCATACTCAGCTGACCATATAATAGCTGCTTCGGTATCCGCGTCGAATCCATACGGCTCACATGACCGAGCCACCTCAGGTGTCTCAGTAAAAGTATGCAGCCCACTGCATACATTCCACTTCGGCGCAACAGCTCCGTGTCCGCAACTCTGTCACATAATCCCATGCGCAGAATCCGTCGAAACGCTGTTAACAGATCCACTCGAGATATCGCACAGCCCGACGGTACATCGTCCACGTTTCGCCGCCGTATAGAAAAACGGACAGAACCATGGATTTGTACACCATCAGCTTCGTGCCAACGGTAAGCTGACAGTTGTTAAACACTCGGTACTCTAGCTTCCCGAATGCCGCCGCTACCTTCGACACGCGGATACGCAACTCACTGTGTAGCTGCTGGTCAGTCGACATCATACTCCCAAGGTAGCAAAAGCGGGAGGTGGTTTCTAATACTTCAGCACCAATGCTGATTTTCGGCACTATTGAAGACTGCACCTCCGGTGAAGGCTGAAAGAGACAGACAGATCTGATTGTGTTGATGGCGAATCCGAATTTGGTCGCTGTCGAAGCCAGAGCACTTGTCTTGTGCTACAACTCATCCGCGCTGTGTGCAAACAACGCACAGTCGTCAGAAAACGGCAACATACGGATAGTTGTCTCACAGACTAGGGTTCTGGCACCGGAAAGACGGATGTTCAGCAACCCACTACCAATACGGTGCTCCACACGAACACCGTAAGCATAAGCCTCATGAAAAGGAGAAGACATCCTGGCATGAAGATAAATACTAAACAGGACAGGAGCTAACACACAGCCTTGCTTCACACCAGAGCTAGCTGCATATTCATCCGAGATCTGTCCAAAGCTGCATCCTCGCTCGCATACCACTGTGCAGACATTCCATGAAAGTTACAAACTTACTTGGACAACCAAAGTTACCTAACACCAGCCACAATGCCTCACCATTCACCGTATCAAATGCCTTGGTGAAATCAACAAAAAGCGATTACAACGGCTGGTGTCGTTCTCTACACTTTTTCTGCAACTGAGGAGCCGCAAACAGCATATCGATGGTGTTGTGACCCGAAGGCAATCCACAACCCGACTGACAATGCGGTTGAGCAGGATTCGAGCAATCGCCTTGCTCACACACCACAGCAAGTTGATGCCACGATAATTCGTGCAACATTGCTTGCTACCTTTGCCCTTGTACAGTGGTTGTACAAGGGCATGCTTCAGCTCATGAAGCACCTGCTCCACCAAGTGGTGCAGCTCAGTCACGAACGCAGGTCCGCCATATTTCAATACTTCAGGCGGGATCCCGTCGGCCATAACACACATACGATTTGGCAGCTGAGCAAGCGCTCTCTGCGTCACATCCAGTGTCCTCATGTCCGCCAGATTTGCGTTCACATCGTGCTGTTTCAGGCCGTTCAAAGTACGCCAGTCAATCTCTGAACGGTTGTTCAAGAGACAGTCAGTGTTTCTGCCAGCTCTGCATTATGTCTGTAGTCTGGGTGCAAGCAGCGCCCGAACTACCATCGATCAGTGTTCTCAGCGGCTTTAACCTCGGTCCACACACCACCTTCAAAGATTCAAAGAATTTCTTGTATTGGCGACGTCCGGGGTAGCATTCCATGTGCTTCGCCTTTGCCGTCCACCATGCATTTTATGCGACGGAGCTCTCGGGTCAGTCCTCGTCGAAGTTTGCGAAACTTACTATTCTTCCGCGAGTCGCTGGGGTCTGCCACATGTGTAGCAAATGCCTCATTCTTCCCGGACACCAATGCGCCAATCATCACATTGTTCGCATCAAACCAATCAGGCCGCTTACAGTTTGCGCGCCCGATGGTCTCCTCGGCAGCAGCTGTCACCTGGTCGCGAACGTGGTGCCACAGATCGCCCACTGTGGCTATGCAATCCACATCACACAAGCGTGCAGCCATCGCCTTCTCCAGCTCAATACGTTACGCTACAGTACCGAGGGAGAGAATGCTATATTTACGCTGATTCACGGTGGGAGTGCAATACACAGATTTACGAATATATATATATAGTTTGGTCCGCACTAATTTGTGATCAGTGCCACACTCAGCTCCACGCAGTACACGTGTCAAGCGCACTTCACCCATATCAAGTTGACGTACGATGACATAGTCGAGCAGGTGAGCGTGACCACTCCGTGGATGTGTCCAAGTTGCTATATCACTCGCACTCAGTGCAAACCGAGTGTTCGTGATCATCAGGCCGTGAGTAGCACACAGTGAGAGCAGCCTGTCACCGTTCGCATTCGCTGAACCAATGCGATGCGAACTGATCACAACTGTCCACACCAATGTATCACACCCAACGCGCGCGTTGAAATCACCCAGCAGAAATAGTCGGTCGCTCCTCGGCACAGACCGTATCACGGAGGATAGCTGAGTGTAGAATTGATCACGCGTGTCATCAGGATAACGCATGGTCGTACCATACGTGCTTATAAAAGTGCAAACTTACCTCTTCCGAGTCGTAGGCGAACAGTCATCAGTCGCGCGCTGATGCCTGTTGGTTCACCCACCAGCTGGCCATTGAGGCGATCGGATATTGCAAATCCGACCCCATGTTCACGTGGTGCTGAGGCGGCGTTGCCCACCCAGTAGAATGTGTAGCCAGCACCTGCTTCATGCAACTTACCTTGCTCAGCGAGCCGAGTTTCACTGAGCGCCGCAATATCGATGTGGTAGCGCGCCAGTTCCATCGCGACCAGTGCAGTGCGTCGCTCCGGGCGCTCGCTCGAGTTCCGGTCCAGTAGTGTGCGCACGTTCCAGCACCCGATGCTGAGTGCTTTGCGCGCAGGCATACGATTGCATTGGTGGGCAATCGCACGCGAGGTGGCGAATGTGCTTCGGAGGTTTGCTTGAGGGACTCCACCCGGAGCCTTTGGCTCAATAGCCTGACCCACAAGGCAGTGGGTGGTTTGGAGGTTTGCTTGAGGGACTCCGCCCGGAGCCTTTGGCTCAATAGCCTGACCCACAAGGCAGTGGGAGCAGATCCAGCTCGGGAATGTGATTGCAGAGACAGATTGGGATCTGCTTGACGG